ACTTGCATTTAGGTTTATTATCCTACATGTAACAATTTATGACTTTATGTCCTTAACTAGTTTTAACAATCAAATCTTGTATGCACCTCTCTTCCTACTCTCCATTTTTCCTGGTTGCAGGAAACCATTCAGCAAACTTTTCAGAAAAGGTTCTTGGTTGCTGCACTTCCTTAACCCCTTGGCATCTGAGAATATCTTCTAGCTGCCTTCATACACGAATACTAACAGGGCAGGGTCTATAATTCTTGGTTCAAAATATTTTCCTTAAAACTCTGTAAATGTTGTTCCATTGTTTTCTGACACTTAAAATTGTAGGAGAAAATCTGAGGTCAGTCTGACTTTTGCCCCTTTATAGGAAACCTGCTTTCTCTGATAGATACTAGACTGGATATGTCTAGTTGTTGCTGTCTTGCCAACCCCCTTGTCCTCCTCCTCTTCCTCCTTCTTTGACAGGGCCTTGCTATGTAGTTCAGGCTGGCCTTGCATTCACTATGTAACCCAGGCTGGCCTCAAACTTGCAGTGATCCCCCTGCCTCACCCACTTAGTACTTGGGTCACAGGCATGCACCACCGTTCCTGGCCTTCTCATTAAAATTTAAAGGTATGCTGTGAGCCCTCTTTATTTGCAGGCCTACTTTGTTCTCCAACTCTAGAAAGTTTTCATCAATTAGTTCTATAATTATTGTTTCAGTTTCCTTTGTTTTGTCCTCACTTTCAGGTATTCTTAGTACACATAGATTATATCTCCTGGTCAAGGTCCTCTACATCTCTTTTTTCTTTAATTCTCATCTTAATTTCTTTGCCCCATTCCCCTGCGTTCTGTAAGAATTTCTCTTGTTTTCCATTTACTTCCAGGATTTTGTTTTTTAACTGACCCTTTTACGTGCTTCCTTTAAATGGAAGCCCTTCATCCTTTCAGTGTGGTCACACACCACCTGCTTTACAATTAAGCGCACTGGGTAATTAACTCTCTTATAGGACAGTCAGTACTTTGCAAAAGATCATTGTGGGCTAATACACCTGTGTCAAGAGGAAGCATTTTTTCGATCACTTAGCTCTACAGTTTTCTTCTGAACTGTGGTCTTACGGTCTTTTCAATCTCTGCAATGGAGTCCAAAAGTGCAGTGTTCCTAAGCATTGGAGTTGAAAAACAAACAAAATGGCTTCCTACATCATCCTTGGATGCCTTACATCTACATTACATATGATACATAATATAGAGGTGGTTTAAAGTATGCAAGGAGGATATAGGTAGGTTATATGCAAATACTATGGTCTTTATGTAAGAGAATTAAACACCTGTGAATTTTAGCATTGGTGGGGCCCTGAAACCTATTCCCCACAGGTGACACGGATGACTGGATAGTGGTTTGATGTCTTCAAGATAGACATAGCTATTCCCTAAATAAGCCACTGAAGACTTGCTTCTAGAAACTTCCATAGCTAAGGGAACAACTTTAGGTGGATATATCAATAAATCTTTGCTGCAAATCAAGTAACTCAAACTTCAGTAGTTTAAAAAAACAGTGTTAATTTTTTCCGATACTTCTGGGAGCTGACTTAGTTGGGGACAAATGGTCAAGGGTGACCTCACCCAGTGTACATCCAGGGACTTGCTGGGGTGGCTTGGAAGACTGGCATGGCTGGGGCCTCTCTTCCAAGGCATTACCCGGCAGACCAGCCCAGGCTTGTTCATGAGCGTTCCAGGTAGCAGAGGGTGGTGGGTCCCCATGTGCAAGCCTTTTCAAGTGTCCACATGTACCTTGTTTTCTAACCCCCATCAGCTACAGCAGATAACATATCTGAATCCAGGTTAAAAGGTGAAAGTGCAGGTGCTACTTCTCATTGGGAGGAGCGGCAGAGGTGTTTGCCTGCAGGGCTTAGAGCGGTTTGTGGTCATTTGACATTGACCCCAACCAGTCACCATAGAAACTGTTCGACTTCTTCAGTAAGAGGCTACAGCACAGAGCTCCACTATCTGTGGCTTTAGAAAACACCATGCTTAAACACAATACTTGTATGAGCTAGGCCTATAAAAATTTAAAAGCCTATCAATTTTAAAGGCTGACTTTAAGAAAAGAAATGCAAAAATGGAGTAACATTTCTCTACTACTTTACATTGCGTGAAACTTTTTCACATGTACTTCTTTTTAAATAACCTTTTAGGACTCTCTGTAAGCAGTCATTGTTCCGCTTTGCACATACATGTTAAGACCAGCCAAGTGCCAGAATGGCATTTGAACTCAGTTCTTCTGATGGTGAAGCGTGCACCTACTTCTCCTGCCTGTACCCAGAAGCCTGGGGCACACCAAGGAACATTTCATTCAATAAGGGAAAAATGCAGGTGTTTATAGAAATGCCTGGAATTTTGTTAGCCACACCACTTACTATACATCACTTTCTCATTCAGGGAAAAGTTTGAATCCATAAATTTTCATAAAAGAAAAAAGTCTATATAAATAATGCATTCATTAAGGACTCAGTAAATTCTCCTTTTGTATCTGTTTTCTATTTCTTGTGTTTGTTAATATCTTATTCAGTTGTTTTCACACTGTACCTATATCACAAGAAGAGCTACATTCTACAAATCTGTCAGGACACTTAGCATTAACAATCCTGGTGTCTGTTGTTCCGTGAGAAATGAGCTTATCTCATATCTTTCATAAACTTCAGTGCATGCGTGTGCATGTGCATGCATGTGTCCATATACATATGTGTGACTTATTGGACACCACACTGTCAGGCTTCTCCCCGAGAATGTGTGGGTTTCCACTTAGGCATTAGCTCAGTAAATGGCACGGGAGACAAGCAGGCTCCACAGTCTCCCTTAGTGGGAGATCAAACTCCTCAAGCTGCATCTGTCACAGGTAACTGGAGGGCAGTTTTCAAGGACACCTTCTCATCTACAGACCGCTGGGCATGCAGTCCTGGGTATAGGCTGACATGTGACGCAGCCCTTGACCCAACAGCTCGCCTTGGCGGAAGGACCCAGAGAAGCTCTGATTGGAGAATTCCGGGAGCCATCAGAGTATGAGCTGACTTGAGCCTGCTTCACCGCCTCAGCTTTAGCTGACTGCGCTGCACGCTCGGTGGGGCACTCATACTAGGTGCTCTGGGTGGAAAACCATGAAAAGCCCAAGAAACATGAGTTCATAACCTAAACGTGCCCTAACAATGTATCAGCAGAAGGGGCTAAGACAATCATCTTAAATTCTTCATTACTGGGCTCACAAAACAATCAAGGGTTTTGGAACCATTCTTTGTACCTTTGGGGTTAGGAAGACTTGAGCTGCCTTCCAAATCTGGGAGTAATCACAGCTGCTCCCGATTGCACCAAGCCAGGAATTCAGGCCAGTAGTGAAATATTTACCGTTAACCTTTTGTCTCCGTTAGGAGGCCTCAGCCCAAAGGAGGCTGGAGAGTCTGCAGAATCACTTCGGGGGTGCTTTCCAAGAAGAACTAATGCTCCTATTCGTGTATTCTTTGGTTGCTTTCCTCACTTCACGGTACTTAGCCTCCTTTTTATCCTTGGTCTGGATTCTTTCATTGAGTCCCAATTATACCTCTGGCCTTGGCTTTCAGTTTGGGGTAAACTTCATGGCAAACATATACACTGTTTTCTGAGAAATTAGGTGTTTTACAGGGACTTTTTGTACTTTCATAAGACCCATCAATGTATTCATTATAAAGAGCCTGTCAGTTCGCTTTTCTGCTCTTTCTTTCCTTCCACCTGTATGGGAAATCACATGGCAGGCGGAGGCCCCACACAGAGAAATGTTATCTCCTTATTCACGGGAGGCAGTACCTTTCTCAAGTGTTACTGTGACAGTCACAACTCTCGATTATTGCTCACAAGCTCCTTTTAGGCCCTGGTGCTACCTGCCTGTGAGTGGATAGCGGGTGGATCTAGTCTGTCACCGCATAAGGAGGTCAGGGCTGTCCCTATGTCAGCTGTCACACAATCCCTGGACTCCCTGTGGCTGCCCCCAGGAGGGGTACCGCCGCCCAGCCTTCACTCCGGCCTAGTCGGGGGCAGCGTGACTGAGCTCAGGGCAGCAGATCTTCCTCAGGGGCTCCGTCATGCAACTCCTTGGGGTTCAATCACTCTGTCCCCCCAGCGGAACACAAGCTAATGATTAATCGTCTACACGGGCTCGTCACAAACAGTACACACGGCACATCTGTGCAGCTATCTTCAGGCACTCTCCTGCTGCCTCCATGGTTGAAACCAGGGTGCTTAATTCCCCCTGGAAAGAAGGGATTTGCAGGGGCAGTTTAGAGCTACAGACCTGAAAATCAGGATCTGTGTAAACACTTTATTGGCTCTCAAGTTCTGCCCACCTCCAGAACAACTCAAATCTCACACACCTCTGTTAGATCATAGCCCAAGACCTGGGCAGACCAGAACATTAAAGAAATACGAACCTGGGTGTGGTGGTACACCCTGGGGAGTTGAGGCAGCAGGACTGCCAGTTTGAGTGTAGCTTGCTCAAATTAGCGATTTAGTGGATTGTCTCAGGAAAAAAAAGGTGTAGGCGTCACTCAGCATGAAGGCCCCGTATTCAGTCCCTGATCCTGGAAAAAGTCTATCTTTGGCTGAGAACTGCCTGTAGAACATCGGGCATCTCCAGTTTTCTAACCTTTGTCATTGGGTTAGTGGATAATGTTTGATAAATTACTTTGTAGTGTGTCCATTTTCATCATTTATTATAAATTATCTAATAAGTATATATTCATGGAGAATCTAGTATGTTTAAGACAATAGAAAGTGCTATCCAAATTTTAGGACTTTCTAATTTTCTTACAGTACTTAAATACTAATACAGATTAATGTACTTTCTGAGTCTGCTCCGTTTCTTAGAGAAGAAGTTTTGCTCATCTTGGATCCTCTAAATCACCTAGCACGCCCTCTTTTCCGTTCCGGATGCTCATGGATACGTAATAGAAGACACACAATAATAGTAAGGAGAGTCCTGTAATGTCATATAGGAATGCGGGCACCTGGGGGAGAGGGAAGGTGAGCTGATGAGCAGGGAAAGGCTCCCTGGGGTGCTGCTGGTGCAGAGGAGGTGGAAGCATTCTGAGAAAAAGAAACGTCAGATAGGGGCTTCCGGTGCGGCTGGCAGCGCCGGAGGCGGGATGTGGCAACCTGAAGCTAAGATGATCAGGCTCTCTGCAAGTCAGGATTAGATACCCCAGACCTTTGAGCAGGTGAGTCAAAGTCCGTGAGAGGAAGGGAGCAGAGAGATGGCGGGGGGGAGAATGAAGGTGCGCAGTGCACACGCACTAGCACGCGCCCCTGTGACGGACGCATCACATACTGCAGGCTCCGGCTAGCAAAAAGTCTCAGTGAGGTGTGCTGGGACATTTCTCAGATAACAGCACACTCAATAGTGAGAGAGTAACGGGGAGGAGTCAGAGAAATGAACTCTTCAAGCAAGAGCAACAGCAAGAGCGCATGGCCATCTCTTCCCAGATACAGAGGCCTGAGTGACCAGGGGATGGAAAGCCTCAGAGAGAAGACTCTCAGCAGGATGCAAGGATGAATCTGAGGGAAAGGGTGGAATAACAGTGACTTCCAGATCTTCTATTTGGATGACACTGATAATAAAATGACTTAATAAAAACTGGACAGTCAACTCTAGATGAAAAGGGCTTCATGTAGTGTGGGCCTCTTCGTGTTGGGACACTGGAAAGACAGGGTCACCAGCTTGTTAAACATTCAGGACAGGAGCTCAGGAGGGAATCAGTGGTTCCAAAGCGAAATGGATAGAATAGATTTGCCCAGTTTCTTGCTTTTGTTATAATTTCTTTTTTATAAGCTCCCTGACAATAGGACCACATTCTACTTATTTGTTTTCTGCCTGTACAGGTAAAGTACTTGGCAGTTAACAGGCATTTTCTGAATCATTCTTATTGAAAGTTGCCTTTCAATAAGGCAACTTTGCCTGAAACAGCAAAGAGGCTCCATTGCCTGTGCCATGAAGGCATGAAGAGAGAACTTTAATGTGAAATTCGGAGACAGATAGTATTTTTAGGTAGCAGGCTCAAACCTCTCTCTCTTTGGAAATATTTTATTAGCACAACTTGCCAAGTTAAAACTCAGACTTTCTCTTCAGTCCCCGGATGAAAGACTTTAAGGGTGCTTAGGGTGCTTCCACTCACGGGTGTTTGGTTCTCACTGACTCTGAGGTCCCTCAAAATTCTAAGATCTGTGAAGTCAGAAAAAGAGGAACCAAATACAACTGCGAACCCTGTGGTACTGGGCATGTGCACCTCACCTAGAGTCCCTCCCCTTGTGCATGCCTGTGTGCACCAGTCCAGTGCTGGGCAGTCCCTTGCCCAGCCTAGGGAAGGAAGCACTCTCTGCTTCAAGTCTGTAGCTTCTCGATCTGCTTATCCTGGGAGCTCTGTGCATCTCTCCAAGCACTGAGGAAAGCCTGCTCCAGCTCTGACTGCTCTCAGAGGACCTGGATGGCTGCCTGGTGGCCCTGGGAATTGTGCAGCTGCCAGCGCAGCTGTGCTCCTCCTTGTGCAGTGGCCAAGAAAAGTGCTTTCTCTGAGCTGGCCTTTTAGTCCATAGACACTGGGGCACCAGCATGTTGTAGGGGATTTGGAGGCGCTCTTCCCTATAAGTATGACCTCCCACTCCCCTTGCTCCAGCCTGGTCTACAGTCCAAGTGGTAACAGCAGACTGCACAGTTAAGTCCTCTCTCTCCTGGAGACCTTCTCTCCTGCTGAGGTACAGAGAAAGAGAGGAAAATAGAAAATGAGGTTTCTTTGTTTTCCTCCAGTGTCTGGAGGTGCTGTGGTGTCTGAGAAGAGTCTAAATCAGAGATAGGAAGTAGACTCCTTCCTGGCTATGAGATGATTTTCCAGTTTCTCTACCACTCTGGCCTCCATTTCCTTTTCATAGAAAGAGGGGCCCTAACAAAATGATCTTTCTTCAGCTAATAGGAAACCACATTGTCCCCCCTGGGGGACAAAAGACAGAACACACTCCACGTGATTGTTGTCTTGTTCCTGCGGGAGTAGTAGGCAATGGTTAGCTTGCATCTGCTTCGGTGGGGCTTTTAAGTATTGTAGGGAGAATAAATAAAGAGCAAATTTCATAGGGCAAAATTGGTCCTGATATCTCAGTGAAATTCAGGAAACTGCACTCTTGAACTAGGGTTTGTAGGTGGAGGAGAACCTGAGCTTTGAAGAGGCAACTGTAGGCTGAGCTCCCTTTTGAGCAGGTGAGGCTCCCAGTTGAAGGACTGTGGTTCAGACTGGGGGTCCCTGGCTCTTCTCCCCTCCACTAGTGGGGATGAACCCAGGAGCGCTCAGCTCTCGCTGTCTTTACTTTGAGACAGGGTCTTCCTGAATTGTGCAGGCTGCCTTCAGACTTGCAGTCCTCCTGCATCAGCCTCCCAGGTAGCTGGGTTTGCAGGTGTGTGTCAGAGTGCGCGTGAATCTGGCTTGTGGTGGTATGTTCCATCCAGCCTGCCTCCGGTACTGTGGGTGTGCTGCTGGGGCCACTGCGAGGGAGAAGGGGGTCTCTGCAGACCCTTGGCCAGGGCTGGCATTCCTGTCCCACGTGTGCTGCTGGTGCTGACATCACATAATATCTTTGTGCTGGGGCGGAACCAACTCGAATAACTAAAGTGAAGGTCTGACAGCATTGTGCTTGTGCGCAACACCTCAGGAGGAGGAGCTGGGGGTCTTCTGTCACGCAAACGCGGGCTTTGTAACATGTAACTCTTCAACGGGCGCCAAGGGGGCGCTGGAGAGCAGGTCTGTGAGGCGTGGGTGGGCCCGTCGGGCAGGGATCTCCCGGTCACCCCGCGAAGTGCTTCTGTAAACACTTTTCCCAACAGTCTCTAGACGACAGTAAGCAAACTGTTTAGGGAAGGAAAGACAGTTCTTCAGAACAACCGAAAATGTGGTGTCTTCTTTTTATAGCTCTCCGATAACCGTAAAGATTGAAAAAGACAGATGACTCTGGCTATTAGATGTGGCAGAACTTTGTATATTTGCAAAAGTTTCTTCCCTGCTGTTTTTTCTTATTGAGTGACGCTTTCAAAAATAAAAATAAAGAGGTTCTTAAGAAGAAACTGATGCTCTGACCCTAGATCTGGAAACGCTGTGGTGAAAAGCTTCTCTTTACCCGGAGTGTGACGGCTTTTTGTCCCCGAGCAGGACAAGGATCTTTTGAGAGTCACAGAGAAATTGCGCTTAGCTTCAAAGATTTCTGCACTGCAGCGTTAGCGCCCTGAATACTTGCAGATTAGGGTGTGATTTTAAAACGCGGTCAGTTGTTATACGACTTCCATGCCTGCATGTCAGAAGTCCTTCCCTTTTTTCTGGTACCAGGGATCGAACTCAGGACCTTGCGATTTCGAGGCAGGCGCGGTGCCCCAGGACTACACCCCCGGCCCTGGAGAAGCCACTCCTATCAGGCTTTTGTTTCGGAATTAATATCACTGCGCTACATTGATCTCCTCAGAAGAGTCCATTCGTACTGGAGCTGGAGCTCGGCAGTACAGCATCTGCCCAGCCCCGTGTACAAGGCTGGGTTTGACCCCAGCCCCTCAAATCGGTTTACCTCCAAATTCTGCTTTTCTCATTTTTGATACAAGCAATTCATTCATATCCCAAACTCCTGCAACTTTGCCTATTTTAAATTTTATGGAAAAGATGTGAAAACAAATATTCACCATAAATCAACTTTAATTCTCTCACATCCTACTTTCCTTTCGGCTGCTCTAGCATCATTCTTTCTGCTTCTGCTTTCCTGACGGCTCCCTCCTGCACGCCAGGGTCCTGTTGGGTCACTTTCCCGGTCTGCCGGTCTGCCGAGCAGGGCTGCGGTCTCTGCTCACTGGCTCATCCCACTGTTCGGGTCAGCACCCCGCAAAGCCAGCATGAGTCCCCGCTCCAGCCCCTGCCTGCGGTCCCTCAGCTCTCCACCCCTGCCCTGGGTCCCACTGGGTCAGCAAGAGAACCTGGCTTCTGTCCTCCATGTGGCTGGCCTGCCCACTCCTACTTATTCTGGGCCTTTATACTTTTACTGGCTTTCCTTGTCTCACTCTGATCTCTGCAAAATATCTTGGACCAAACATTGCTTTGCTATGTGTTTTTATTTTTAATTAAAAATTTTAAATTTTAATTCATTGTTTATTGGTACATGTTAGGTGTACAATATGCTGACACTCATAGATGGGAACTTGTACCTTTACATGATGTAACTAGGTTCTTATTTTTTCCCCATTCCCCAGCCCTCCCTTCACCCCCTCCACCCTTCCCTGTTTACAAAGACTTTGTTTCCATTTTTTCCTTTTCTCATATTAATTCCATTCCCTTCTTTCCTTTTCCCTACCCCTCCCACTACCTCTTTGCACCTTTTCTTCCTATTTCCTATTTCACCTTATCTATTATACCTTTGATCCTTATTTACACTTTCAGTTTTTCACACCAGAAAAACTATTCGGTATTTACTCAAGTGTGTTCTATTTATTTTGCTTGAGTATGGCCTCAATATGCACCCACTTCACTATAAATTTCTCTAGTTTCTCCTTCTTTATGGCTGAGGAGTACTCCATTTTATAGAAAACCCCCACATCTTCCTTATCCAGTCTCCAGTTGAGGGACAATTGGGTTGTTTCCAAGTTTTAGCTATTACAAACTGTGCTGCTATGAACATGGGTGAGCACATATCACTGTGGTGTGCTTCTTTTAATTCTTTAGGGTAGATACCCAACAGAGGGATAGCTGGGTCAAATGGGACTTCTAATCCTAATTTTCTGATGTAATTCCATACTGTTTTCCACAGTGGTGGCACCAGTCTACTGTGTTTAAATGTACTTTACTTCAAATTCTGTCACCAAACTTTTCCTTTTGCTTTTTGAACAGGGTCTCAAAATGTAGTTCAGGCTGGCCTCAAACTCATGGTCCTCCTGCCTTCTGGGTTGTGGGGATTATAGCTGTGTGCCCCACACCTGGCGACTTATCTTATTGTTAGCTTCCCCTTTAATTCAACCACAGGTAACTTTTAGGGCAAAGCTCCAAGCCTTCATTGCTTTTCTTCATTATGTTCTAGGGCTTTCCTTAGAAAGCCTCACTGTGTCCCCCAGAATCTCTCCCAAGTGCATTGAGGCCGTGGCTTCTGCTCAGGATGCAGGTGCTCCTTGCTTGGCCGCTTACCCGCTTTTTGGCTGTTCAGACACACC